GATCTAGGACAATGCTATGTGACATCAGGGAGACATGGGGTAATTCACTAACTTTGCTTACTCCGCTTAATGACTACTTATACGTGACAAATCAAAACTACCTGCAATTTCTTACTTTTGAAGGAAATTCCGGAGCCTTTTCCCCTTCCTGATGAAATTTCTATAGTAAAAGCCGCAGCGGGTTGGGCACATTGTGTTGCTGTTACAGGTACCCTAAGCAATGTTAATGTTAGTGGTGCCATTAATCTTTGAGAAACTTGAAGCTTGTGTATTTTGTGACTTGGATTTTTAGATGTGGAAGTACATCTACTTCAGCTTCCATTATGATCTCCTCCTTCACTAGATTTGGGTACTTGTTATTCTGCTGAAAAGATACAGGATTGACTATCTTATGTGTCCCGTATTGCTTGAGGGATGGGTTGTTTGTCACCGCTTGAGGTAGATTTTAGGATTAAGTTAGGCCTAAAGTGCATTTCTTATCATGATATTAGTGTCAAAGCCTGTTTCTTGTGTCGCGATGTTCGGCCATTAAGTTATGATATGTTATCTATACTCTGTTTGGCAGGGGTTGCAGGGTGTTAAGTGTCCCACATTTGGTTGAGGAGTGAGTTGTTTGTCTTCTTATATGTTCTTGGCAATCGTCACCCTTTGAACTAACTTTGGGGTTGAGTTAGGCTCAATGTCCATTTTTTTTTGATTAGTGAGCTCTGGTGTGTAATATTTGTATATTTGTTACCATGGTTTATATGTTCTATTTTTATTTGTTTTCATAATCCTCATTCCAACGTGTTTATGGAACCTTAAATGCAGAAACTGGAGAAGTTTATACATGGGGGTGGAAGGAATGCATTCCTTCTGGAAAGTTTCTTGGGGAGCAAGTCGTAGACAAGGAGGTAAGCGACGGGCAGAGTTCATTCCCAGCACAGCAAGGTATTTTGGATTGGCTTCACTGTCAGAAAGAAGCACAATCTGCTATTTACATTTTACATAGTAATATTTTGAAGATTAACTTTATCACAGTAAGCCCTCACCCCCAGGGATCGAGATCCAAGGTTGGAGCAGCACCTGGTATAGAGACTAGAGGGGGAGAGGATGGTGCAAAACGTAGACGGGTATCATCAGTGAAGCAACCAGCTGAGAGCTCATCCTCAGGTGATGAAGGTCTCTCAGCATTGCCATGTTTGGTCACACTGAATCCAGGGGTGCGGATTGTTAGTGTAGCAGCTGGTGGGCGGCATACACTAGCATTATCAGGTAAATTTGTGTATGTCTTGGATAAACTTCCTTCAACGCATCATACAATTGTCTTTGCGTTCCTGGAATATCATTTGTGTACAGTGCCCTTTATGAATTATACAGTTACATTGCCAAAGATTTTCCAAAGAGGAATAACATTTTTCTTTTTTTAGATATAGGACAAGTGTGGGGTTGGGGATATGGAGGGGAAGGACAGCTTGGCCTAGGCTCCAGGATTCGAATGGTGTCCTCCCCACATCCTGTGCCATGCATTGATTCTTCTTCTTTGCGGAAAGAGAGAGCTATTGGCCTTTCTCACGGATGTCCGGGGTCAGAGGGACAAGGCCTCAGAGTTCCTGGGAATTACATCAAGAGAATTGCCTGTGGGGGCCGACACAGTGCAGTAATTACAGGTTTGTTTTCTAGTTCTTGGGTAGATTATTAGGATATTCAGTCAGTTGGTTATACTAATATTTCAGCACTTGCTTATTACAACGAATATTAATCATCACTTATCAGTTGCCTACTTCGTGTTGAATATACATGTTTATTTTTCATATGACTGATGTTTTTACTCTTTCAATGTGTTCTCTATTGGTACATTGTAATATACAGCGTCCCTCTTGCAGTCCTATAATTTATTTCTACAATAATTTCTACTTATAATTTATTGCTGCTGAATTTCAAGGTAGATGCTGGAGCCTTGTTAACTTTTGGTTGGGGATTGTATGGACAGGTGAGTTTCTTGGGATCAGTTTATTTCATAGTGGATTTAAGCACTGGAGTTATTTAAAATAAGCTATATTCTTGATGAAACAATAACCACATCTTTTTTCTTCGCGTGCGCGCGCATGTGCCTACATCCATCATATGTGTTGTGTATATCCATCTCGTATGTGTAATAAAGTAAAGTAACATATGCCTTGTGATATTATTTTCTTCTACACCCAATTGGGCTGAACTTGAAAAAATTTGCATCCACTATGTCGTAGCGCGATGATCTTTTTGAACAGTAGAAACTTGAAACTTGACCACAACAATACTTACGTATTTCCACTTCTTCCATAAGAAAGAATGTGTGTGTATATATATATTACCTAACAAGAGAAAGAAGAAGGAATATCAACTCTGTGAGCTCCTTATGCCAATGCCTGAAGTTGAATTTGAATTGAGAATTTTCCTAAAGGTGCTATGAACTTGGGAAGGCATAGTAAACTAATGGTAATTGTAGGACCTCCCTAAAACTATATATAATCATATGTTCCCTTTTGATATGTTATAGGATTCTCTTATTTCCGTTTATTAAATAGTATATTAAGCATTGATGCTGCATTTTCCAGTGTGGTCAAGGGAGTACAGATGATGAGCTAAGTCCCACGTGTGTATCTTCATTACTTGGCATCAGGATAGAAAGTGTAGCTGCAGGGCTCTGGCACACTGTATGTATTTCTGCTGATGGTGATGTATATGCATTTGGAGGGAATCAATTTGGGCAGTTAGGCACTGGGGCCGAGCAGGCTGAGGTACAATTTTGAACTTCTGTTCTTTCCCTCCTATCCAACCCTGTAGCTCGTTAGTACTGTTAATATGAGAGGCTTCTAAAATCTGGGTAACATATCATACGGAGAAGTGTGATTTGCTTACTTGGAAATACTGGCAAAGTTGATTTTCCGCGGGTTAGGTTTGTCACAATAAATTTCACATAAGTGCACAGTAGGACATTACCCCTTCAGTAGCTTTTCTATGTTATTTCACTATACCAAAACTCCTGCAGATCTTATACAATCTAGGATAATAAATTTTACTTTTTACCTATATCAGACACTACCTCGGCTCCTGGATGCTCCAAGTTTGGAAAACATGCATGTGAAAGTTGTATCTTGTGGAGCACGCCATACTGCTGTAATCACAGGTATGACTCGTATCTGCATCTTAAAAACTTTTCTCCTGCTAGACATACTATGTTTAGACTCATCAGAAGCTTCAGGTAATTGATGGGGCTAATTAGATGAAAATTAAGGTGACAAATGAGTGTGTCAGTATAGAGTTGAGAAACTTCAATATTGAAGAATAGTTGGAAATGTAACAGCCTGCTAATTAGTCCAGTGAATATGATAATGGGGAAGTAATCTTTTCTGTTGGTGAGCGGTTTCACAAACCTCTTGCAAATGGCTATATCTATGTAGTGGATTCTCTGTTTGTAATTATGTAATTTTTAGGAGAGATCTCTTTCATTGATTAATAGAGTAGACTTGATGGGGTCCACCCATGGCAGCATAAATTCTTGATGTACATTAACTAAAGACTTGTAAAAACTTATAGTTGGACAAGCTTGAGCTGCTACAAGGTCCCCAATTTCATTGGCTGAACGCGCATAATACCCTTTTTCCCAAAACTTGTTTTCTTTATTATGATCAATAACTTGGGGTTTACTTTCTTGATTTGATATGTAACTATCATAAATACATAGTTGAGATATCCGAGGGGAGGAGTTAAACGTCACTCACTGAAGTGATTTCTCCTATAGCCAACACATGGTTGTTGAGGTGTAGGAAACTGTCTTTCTTAAACCTACATGGTCAACAAGGCATAAAGCTTACATGATTGTTTTTAGTGGTGTGGTGAGTAACTGGAAAGAAAATGGATGCAGTCACACTCTTTCTGTAGGTCAAAATTTACTGTATCGTTCAGATAAGCTGCTCAGTTAGCTATCTTCTGGATGTATAGCAACTAACGTCTTAACAGTTGTTCATTCTATAGAGAGTGTTTCTTCTTTTTGTTAAGCTCATAACCTTTCTCCTGTTTGTTTTATGAAGGTGATAGCAAAGTATTCTGCTGGGGGTGGAACAAGTATGGTCAGGTAGCCATAGGTGTTTCACTAGTTTGTCAAGTTCAATTGTTTGGCATTATACAAGTGTTTACGAGCTATTGAACAAATGAATTCATTCATCTTTGTGCAGCTTGGACTGGGTGATGTGATCGATCGAAATATTCCATCCCAAGTCTCAATGGATGATCATGTACCGATAACTGTTGCTTGTGGATGGTGGCACACACTTCTACTAGCTGAATCACCTACTTGAACTACTACTCATCTTATCGATGCAAATTCACCAGTTTTGCTAGGTTAGGTACCTTTGGTTCTCAATTCAAGATTTGATATGTGCATATGGTACATATAGTAGTTTGCTTGCATATATATATATATATACACACACTAGCATGGAGTTAAATTCTTTAGTTGCAACAATATGGTGGTCATCGTCATCCTACCAATGCAGCAACATGCAAAGAAAGATATCGTCTACCTATCGTGTCATGTCAACTTAGGATACAGTGTAAATCCTCCTCGCTACTGGATTTTCTGATGTATCGAAGACACTCTGGTATGTTAGAGCAGCAACTATTATAGCTTTTAAGGGTACTCTTTTCTGGTTCAGATGTTGTTAGACTGTTGTAATTTATCAATCTTCTGTCTCTGATGTTTAGAGTTTGTGCATGTATATAATGGTGTGGTTTGAAGGTTTTCTTATTTTTTCATTTAGTTAATAGTTTTAGCCAAAGTTTCAGTTACAAGGCAAGTGAATTGGTTTATGAATTATGATGTCAAAAATCATGTCAAAAGCAATGAAAGACAAATTGTGTGCTTTCAACTTGAGTGACATCTTACTTCATGAATCCATGGTATTACACAACCAAAAAAAGAAAATGGTTCAATTAGAAGGATGCTCATTTCCAAATATGATGAACCTCAAAACAAGCCATTAAAGTTAAAACATAGTTACTACTTCCTGTACACAAGTTCTCAAAATCAGTAATATTCACATAACCATATGAATACGTGGTAGCGTACAGAGAAGGGACCTTTAATCAAGAGGCCGCGAGCCAAAACATGACACAGGAAGAAATGGCAAGGAAGAACCATGAGAGGAAAGCCAAAGCTACTGAAATTTGAAACATATGGCAGGACAGCTTAGGGGTGGATATGCACATATTTGTATCTTTAATAATCAAAACTACCACGCCGGCTGATGAGCATGCAGCAGCAAGTGATAAAATGGCTGTCACCTGCATCATGATAATATTTACAACATGAATGTAAAATATGTCCAGAAATTACATGCAAAATGATAATCTATTAGTAATCTTATTTAACATAAGAGGAGTTCTTTTTTTTTTTTAGATAACCAATTAGTAGTATGCCTAAGTTTGCCATAAGACCTTCTCCCTCTTGGAAATTGGCTGATCAAAAGGATTTTACTTCACTTTAAGGAAGTCAACGATCAGCGTTACATTAGCTTGCGCTGATGCATAGAATACAGGACAATATAGGATGATAATTAAGTGAAGTAGCATTATATTGGTTTAGCCAGAATTCACTATCCTTTAGCACAGTAATAGAGCAGTTGGATTAGATATGATGCATCTCCATGTTCATTTTATGTAATATTACATAATCTCCAGTAGGATCTCAAAGATTCACGAATCGGAAAAGCATTCCAATATCTTGCAAGTTTTACTGTATCAGACTTCAAACAACTAAAAATGCTGAACTGCTAGGATTGAATATTGCAAAAACAGAAACTGTTCCAGCAGAAGATATCATTCTTCTTTCCTAGAAGCTGATATAGCCAAAGACTAGAGTGAGCAACATCATTTTACTAGTCACTCTCAGAAGGTCTATTATTAGTGCAGTTACCAGAAACCATAACTCTTCCCCTGATATGAGACCTTTTAAAGGCATAGATTAGTGACAACAACACCATACCAGTATACACACGTGGGATCTGCAGAGAGTGGAGGTGTACGAGACCTTACACCCTACCTTTGTGAGGTACGAGACCATAAGTTTGCTCTCTATCTCATAACAAATCAATGAAGTTGGCTCTTTTGACTCTAACAAGCTTGTTGGAATGGATACAACCTTGGATCTTCATGAGCGATACAAGGTGGCTTTTTTTTTTTAAAAAAAAAAGAAGTGAGAAAAGACGTGTTAAAGCAAAAGAAAATAATAGTACTACCTATATAACCTACTACTACATACTAAAGATATAAATAAACATATTGAATAGAGACAAGACATTATCACATTTCATATATAACCTATATAGAATGGTTTGCTAGTTTGTATTACTTGTATCAGTTCAAGTGCTAAAACTTAGTATCCAAAAATTTTACTCTAGCCTCCCTAATGATGGTATATTTCATGTAATACTGATCCTGCTTTACTTGCTTTTCTTAGGAGTTCCTATAATTGGAAAAGATGATTCCGTCTTTGAATTTAGGAGCTTTCATCAATTAATTCCCATTATACTTGGAACGTTTACTAGACTCGGCACATAAAGTCATCTTTAGGTTATAACAGCTACATGTATCACCACAGCGCGCACACATAATTTTTTCTTTTCCTTTGAGGGGGAATGTTGATATATTTCGATGTAAGTTCTTATACTGATAGACTAGAAAAGGAATATATCTGCAACACTTCTCACCTAATTGGTGCAAGTGCTAAAAGATTACCCTCTGATAAGCATCTATGCATAAAATAGAAAATAGAAAGGAGAAGATTACCCAATCACCGATTACAAGCAAGCTCAGAAAGACGTAATTCCTTAGATCTCTTTTCAATCTTAAGGCATGAATATCCAAGCAGGCAAGTGAGAAGCTCCATATTACTTGCAGCCCCATGGATGCAATTAAATAGCTGAACCAAGAAAATCATGTTGTAGGAACATGAGCAAAACTATAAGCTTATTGAACAACATAAGAGACAGAAATTACTACGTGAAACTGAATGCATTTCACTTGGCAAATTGTCAAAGGCAAAGCAACTTTACTGCTAAGAAAGAGCGTTCAGCTAGAAAGTCATGATTTGAAAAGAAAATTGATCAGAGAACAGAACTAAAAGACAGTAAAAAGAAAAGAAACAATAGGAAATTTACTAAACATATTGGAAAATACTAATGGAAACAGACTAATACTTTCAGAAGCAACTAGTTAGAAATTTTAGCCTATAATGGATTTCCTAAGTGTCCAATAACAACGATTCAAATCACTCTTTAATGTGCACTGAGAACTACTACAGATTCTCAAAGGTGAGGCAAGTTAACCTACTATTGAATTATAGCTAATTGTCATATCTGGTCTGATTGATGGAAAATCCTGCTAGACTGATTACCGAAGGCTACCATCGCTAAGGAATATAAATGCATTTAATCCATGAAACTAGGCTCTCATGTAGCCAGAGTCCAAGTTCGAAAACAAATGTGTATTTCCAATATTTGGAGAGCAAATTATGACTTGAAGCCAAAGACTGAAACCTTCGGCATTCAAAGGGTCACAACTTTGTTTTTACGGAGAGAAAACTGAAAGGAGGATATGAATATGTTGAACGATTACGGAGGGAAAGTTCAGCAACTGGGGATAGATAAGGCATGTTCTCTCACGCTATAATAGCCTATGGATTATATTATTATAATATTTCCAATAAAGATGTTTGATAAGGAGGAAAACATTTTCCAGAAATGTCTAACGACTTCCCCATTTTTGATTGATCAAATGTCTTGGAAACTATTTTTCTCTAGAAAATGACTTCCCTGATGAAATCAGAGAAAATAAGTTTCAGAAGTGGCATTTGCTTATTATCTCCACCCCCATCCCCTCTCCTCCTCCCCCACCTTACAACACCCTGAACTCACCCCAACCCTTCATCTCCCACTACCCCACCAAGCTCTTGGTACAATATTTTCTATTTACTTAACAAACACAAGAAATTAAGTAAGAATGCCATTTATCGAGAATTCTTTTTTTCCTCGGAAAACATTTCCTTCATTACCAACTACACCCTAAATCTACAAACTACCAAAATTTGGCATAAGTACCAAAGTTTACCAAAGTAATGTAATCTTTAGCTCAGATTGATTAAATGGCGCTTTGTTACGTCTGATGAAAATAACTAATAAGTAATAACTTCCCCCTTCACCCATCCAAAGAAAGGCAACCAATAACAAAATGTTTAGTGCAGCAAAAAAACTGGAACTGTAAACGTCACTTTCACAAATTAAACACTAAAACTTCCAACAACAACAACCAAAAAATCCATAAACATAGCCCCATATATTTGTATGTGTTTATGTGTGCATTACCACACCCACTTCAATCTATTCCACTTCCTTTTATCATCATCAACAACAACATACCTAATGTATTCCCAAAACTGCAGCCTGGAGAGGGTAATGTGAATTTTCGCTATTTGAAAATAGTAAATACACTCAGATAAACCTCCTTAGTCCTACCTAACTCCATGCTTCCAACACACCCATCACAAATCAGTTCATTTTGTTCATAAAAAAGGAAACTAACAAAGCTATAAATAGTAATAGAGAGAGATAAGGAGACACTACCAAAAAGCAGTACAAGTGGCGAAACCATGAGAAGAAGCCATTACAACCATAGAAGCAGCAGCAAATAAACACTGACCCATTCGCAATACCAACCCACTCACTCTACCTGGACCTCCAAACAACTCCTTCATCCTCTTTCTCTCTCTCTTTATCGCTATAACTATATCGAATGCTTGTTCATTTACCACAAAATCACATACAAACTCCTTTACAATACTAAAACCCTAGATCCGATCAAATTGATGTTGATTTTTTTTATGGGTATTGATTACATGAACAGTTCGAATCTACAAAAGAAAAAAAAAATGGAGTTTGAAAGGGATATGTTCTTAAGGTCTTCAATAACAACTTTGAGTATGACTACTCAGACTGATGCTACTTTATTTTAACACTAAGAATATTTGTTCTTATTTTAACACTAAGAATATTTGTTCTCATTTATATTTTTAGTATCGAATATAATTTTTCAACGAACTAGATTTAATCATAAATGATCATATCACCATTAATTATATAACTCGGTATGAAATTTTTTCAATTTTTTTTTAAAATATTTTAATTATATAAGGTCTATTAGTAATATAACTCGACATGAAATTATGCTGAATTATCTATCTCATTAAATAATTTTGAACTGATATAAAAATGCCTTTAGAAAATTCAAAACAACTTTAGAGGTTATTTATAATGATGTTGATTGGTATAGGAGTTCTAAATGACTATGGGCTAAGAATCTAAAAATATTAACAATTATAATATGAGAATAAATTGACTCTAAAATCTAAATATTTAACAATATTCACACTAATATTTAGATTTTTTAATGCAAAAACAGTAGGGAAAAGACCCATAAAGAACAAAAAAAAAAAAAGAACAACAATTCAAAGCATATGGGAAAAAAGTCTAATTTTTTTACTATAAGCTTCATTCATGAAAAACGTAATGATACACCTATAGACCAAAAATACATAATGCAACATGACTTCTCTACAAGTTTTCTCTGTTTGTACTGTCCACTCTTTGCTTCACACAACTATGCAAACCACTGATTAAATGGTACACCAAACACACCAGAAAAGGGAAGAAAACAAAACTCGAACCGCACACTTTTGAAACCGCGACGAGTTGAGCATACAACAAGCATAGTAACGCGAAACTTTTAAGAGAAGAACCACATCTTGATGAAGATTGTCAAAGCTGCTTGCAGAGCAAAAGAAGCAACCAGTATCATCATGAGATCATCTGACTGTACATATGTTCTGAGGTTCAACGCAACGAAACTAGCTGATGTTGTGGCAGCAGCAATTGTGATGGTCCACCTAAGGAACTCGACGGGGATGATCAACAGAAACTGAAAAGTGGAGGAGACATAATAGGACCTTAGTAAATACATGTTGCCAAAAATTAAAGAAAGAAAACCAGTAATTCTCCCTTATTGTTATGTCAGCAATAAGATTAGTAAGGGTCTGAGTTATCCAGAGAAAAATTATATACTTACGGAGCTCAGAACTAAAACAAAGAGTGAATATCCCCACAAGCACCAGAAGCGTATCAGGCTAGCACTTATACCCATATACCGAATCAAGAAGTAAAACCCCAATGGCACTAGCAATGCATAACCATATACTGAGCAGGCTGCCACATTCACATAATTGACATCAAAGTTCCAAGAACTATTGCTATCGCTCTGCATCAGGTATGTGGCACAGTTCCCGATGGAAGAAAGGACAAACACTAAAGTAGTAGATATCCAGACAAGCCCGTAACTGAAATATGCAAGAACAGGAGAAAGAAGAACAATGTTAGGTGGAGATATTTAAAAACTCAAATAAGTAAAGGAAAGCACACTAATCCCACATTACAAGGCGATGCAAGATATTAAACAGAACAAGAGAAAAAGGACACGCTATTGAATTGCTACTGTACAACATATCTAAGAGAATTGCTTCATCAGCAGCTTTAGAGGCTCCAGAACTGAAGCAAAGATTATTTTGGCTTTATAGATTATAACGTAATGGTTTTATCTCTCAAAAGACAAAAACTAATATACCAAATTCCCTCATAGAAGAATTAAAAATTTGTACATCAGAACTGCAAGATACAACATAGGACATCAACATGCAGAATTAATCATTATCCTAGAATGAGGAAATATTATACACAATCTAACAGCAAGAATAGGACAAGGCTCTCCATAGAAACTTCACTTCATGAAATATACATGTGATCAGCATCCCGTTTTCTAATAAGTATGTGTTGAGCATCCTATTAGAAAGACTTTAGTTCTTTTCACCACAAAGGTTCTTAGGAAGTTTGAGTTTCAATACCGAAACAGAAGTTTTTGTTTGCATTTCTTTTTCAATTTCTTATAAAGGATAATAAGCTTCAAGAACCTTAACTGGCCAACATAACAGATAAAAGAGAACGAAGAACGAGCACTAAATTAAGAGTTAAGAACATAATTCATATAGATGAATAAGTGTATGTATTTATGGAATCTGGAAACTTCTGTTCTGTTGTTCAAATTAGTTTATATTTCCTCAAATCTAGTTAAATTAATCTATATATTAGCAACTGACAAAACTTAGTTGCTTTCTCACCATATTTCTATAGTTATATACGTAGGACTTACAGGTCAGGGTTAGCATCAATCTTGCTGAAGAAATCTCCAGTAGTAGGGTTCAATGAACTCATCAATCTGTTCAAGACAAGGTCTGTATCCACGTTAAAATATTCTGTATAAGATGACACGCTAAATACTCCATTCCACCTGTTTGTTGATTGCTGCCCATCTCCTTCTGCATAAAATAGGTAGGTGTTACTTGAACTAATGGAAGCTGCGCCTACTACTTCTGATGTGCTTTATGAATTTGGATTACATAACAAGCATATGCACACCTTAAAGCATCATAGATGCCTACCAGTCATTACAAGAAGGTAGGTTTAACAAGTCAAGGTTGGTACCATATGGCAGAAAGGAAGCCCAAGGGACAATAACATAAAAAGAAAAGGAAGCAAGTAAGAAACGAAAAAATCAATGTTAATAGTTCATGCAGATATGCAGAAGCTAACTGCACAAACAGACTCTGTATTTCAGACTCCAAATTCACGAGAAACTAAACTGCAGCCTTCCCTTTCCTTAAACAGTGTGATGTTAACAATGGATTCCTCTCTGTGGTCTACAAAATATTACCTAAATAGATCCCATCGATATCACTATATGGTCATGTCTCAGAAGTATGAATCTTTCTTTTTCCTCAATCTTTCAACAGTAAAAACACCACTCAGAATTTACAAATATGCAGTTTGTGCTCTACTAAAATGAGGGAAGACTTTTTCAGCAAGAAAAAATTTCAATTGGAGCATTATATACACCGTTAAGTGATATTGTTTCCAAATTAGCTACAGTGAAACCATAAACAATAAAGCAATAGTATTATGAGACAAATGGTTATTTAAGGGTTTGTTTTCTTTTGGATACATGTTAGTCAAGATAGTAATAATTTGTTGTTTTATGCAATAAGTTTATCAACCAAATTAAGGAGCAAGATACCATGCTTTTACACACACCCAGAGTCTTTCAGTTCACTTAGTTGTTTAAGAAAGAAGCCACCACTGCTATATTGTCATACCCAGCCAGAGATCTGCTTGAGTTTTCTTATTTCAAATCAATATTTACATTCACTAACATATGGAAGAAAATTAGCTTTTGTAGAAAGTTATCTGCACATTTGGAAACACATATACAAATTGCAAGACCTAAACAAATAATGGACTTATGTCGTTGTCCAAGAAATAGAAGATAAAACCGATACTGTAGCAATCATCTAGAGCTTACCACCAGTGGCAGTTATTTCCTGGTCTGCTATAAAACTTCAATCAGAACCCATTAGTCCCATCTTATGTACCATTCTCTCTTTTCATAACTAATGATGTTTGGCACAATTTCATGTAATAACCTAAAACGATCCATAAGTCTCAGAATCAATCCATTAATAGAAATGAAACTTCAAACTCATATAAAATGTGTTGCATTGAAGTAATTCTATGAAGGTTAGGCCATACCCTCCTTCTTTAGTGAGATACTAATATACATATAGATATACATCCCAAGCCCAGCCTTTACTGGAAAAAAGTTCTATATACATTTTCAACAAATAATATATATTTGCTAAAAATATTCAAGTCATACTAACTCTAAGTCCTCTGCAAGTCTCAAAATCAAATTCATTAAAACAAATTGAACTTCAAACTCATAAATGATGTTTTCTTATTGAATAATTCTATTTGCATTTTTCAAACAAGTCCGATAGAAAAGTTCAATGCAATCATCACCCACCACCAAAATGACATGCAAGTCTACCAACTTCCTCAATATTCAGTGAAAAAATTATGTCATATATCAGGAAGGAGGAAATACTAGTATCTAGAAAGACATACCACCTCCAAGAGTTTGATACCCTCTTCCTGCATTTGGACCATTATTTGGAGGAAGTATGGGAGAATTTGCTGCAGGGGCTGCAAATAGCATTAATAGATAAGCATAAGTTTGTTATTCAAGAGAGCTATCAAGAGTTATAACAAATTCCTATTACAGGAGGGTACCTTGTGGTTTATAGCTGTTCTTTTCTTCAGTGAGAACTGCCTGTACAAGACATAACAACTATAATGTAAAAGAAGCGTCCCAAGCAAAACTAGAGTCAGTTATCAGGTACAATTGATATTACTTTACAAACAATCAAAACTGACACTAGATATGATTTTTGGTTTAAAACTTTAGATTCCCGGAAAGAACTAATTCCTGAGGATTGTTGAAGCACTAAAACATAATATTTCAATGAAGTCAGATCCTTCAAAATAAGTTGTCAAATAAAACTGCATTCTATTGTAGTTTTATTAAGAGATAGTTATTAATCCAAAATCCTTTCTTTATCATTTCAACACTAAAAGTTAGTCTTCATTTCAAAAGACTCTTTTATAATGCCTTTACAATTTGAGCAACTTTGCATCATAACTGTGAACAACACAAGACCCAGTATAATCCCATAAGTGGGGTCTAGGGAAGGTAGGATATATGTAGACAATACCCCTACCTTTGTGGGGTAGGGAGGTTGTTTCCAATAGACCCTCGGAATCAAAAGAACTGTAATCAAAGCAAGATTGAAAGGAAGATAATGGCAGCAAAATAGCAAGATACACAGAGCAAATGATGCAACAGATAGTAGTGAAATTTGACTAATAAGATACTACACGAGTACTATCTAATACTACTGGATAAGGAGAAAATGAGAGAAGGATATTAACCTCCATGTCTCTCCCACATAAAAGTATGACAACACTCACTTACTTAGTACCCTTTTACCCTAATCATCGACCTCCATATTT